GACATGATCAGGATTAATAGAGGAACAAAAACCCTAGTTCTGGGAATTAATGCACTAAGATTTTTGTATGTATATATAAAAAACAGAGTTGGATTTAATTGTAAGAGTAGGTGTTTAACTTGATACAAACTCAAAAACTAGGAAGGTTGCTGGTTTCAAATCAAATTATTAAATCACTTGGTTTCTTCTTTTTTGGTTGGTTTTTAAAATTTTACTTGATTTGTTGCTAATGCATGGGTTCTTTATGCTCTGTGACCTTAAGGAATCCTAATACATAAATATGTGAGATCATAATATTTAGTTAATTAACTCACTGCTAGTAAATAATTTTTCTGTTGACTTATTAGACAGTATACAAGTCCAATTGTAATGCTAATTTTGGTTAACGGACAATACAAGAGTTTTTGTGATCTTATCAACTTGTATAACTACTTTATGGCTATCTGGTCTTGGTTTGAAATTGAAGTAATGCTGGTCCCAGCTCAAACCATCGCTTTCAGTCGAGACATGCTGCGAGGTATTAGTTTCATTAGGTAAAGTTTGAGGACTACGAATAAGTAGGAAGATATATAATGGCATAGAGGAAACACTGGAAGATGACAAAATAAAGGAAACGCTTGGAAGCCATGACACGATACAAAATAAGGGCTAATGTGACCATCAAACTTCATAAAATATATGTAGTTTGGAGTTTCAATAGAAGTTAAATTCTTATTTAGGTACGAGTATAGATGGACTTGACATCAATGGCCGGGAAACCGCTGGTAATTATAGTTTTTTTGTTGCTTGTACTTTCCTCTTAATTAATCAAAAGGTGTAATTAAATCTAATAACTTATCAATATTATATATATATAGGCATATTAATGACTTAATAAGTTAACGTTATTATATTATAATATGTAACAATATACTACATATATTATAAAGCATACTTATTAATATACTAATTAGCCAATAACAATATACTAATTAGTCAAAAATTATATATTAACAAAATACTATATTAGTGTATTAGTAAAATTATATGTTATAAGGTAATATGTGGTAACATAAAGTACATTATTAATATATTATTAAATAAATTTAAAAAAAACAGTAAAAAGTTAAAAAAAATTCAGTTTAATCGGTTAACCGATTTAAGCGATTAAAGTTGGTCTAGTTTGTTTAATTTTTTTAAAAAGGTCGGTTAAATCAGTTAAGGCTATTTTTTAAACAAATTAACCATTTTAATGGAATGCTCACCCTTAGTACAAACTCCATTTTCTATGAAAGGATAAAGTATAATGAGATGAATTGTCACTTCATTAGAGAGAGAGCATCAACCGCAATCATTATAACAAGGTAGGCTAAAATAGATCTACAAATTGCTTATATGTTTACCAAAGATTGCTTAACAAAACGAGTGCTTTAAATATACACACTCATCTTGAGGGGAGTATAAGAAATATGATAAAGAAAAAGTGAAGACCATTGATCATCAACTAGAAGGTGCAGAAGATTGAAGAACACGGCACTAAAGAGCTTCAATCCATTTAATTTGTATATACATAGGTTGTACAGTTGTTGTTAGAATGGCAGCTGATGTGCATATGCATCACTTACTGTAAATTTAATTGTGTTCTGTGGTATTTTCTTTTTGTTGAAAATCAGCTGGTAAGGTTTAGGTTTCTTTTTGCAGGTC